GCTTGGAGGAGAATACCTTTTGGGAAGCAGAACTAAATGAAATTCAATGGAAATGCGAGGCCTACTAACTGTTTGTGAAAAATTCAACTGTCAGTCCTTATTCACCTTAGACTAAATGGAGTGAATACAGTTCTTAACTGGTTGAATAATTGAATATGAGTTCCGAGAGTTTGAAAGCCTACTTCCTATGAATATAGTAAAATGACTGTTTTCTCTTTGCTGATTGGTCCTTTAAGGAGGCGCATTCTATTGCTCGTCAGTTCAATTTACTCCCACCGCTGATGGAGCAGCCCGAGTACAACCTTCTGCAACGAGAACGAATGGAACTTATCTTTCCTGACCTATGTGCGAAAATTGGTATGAATTTTGATATTTATTTTTCCATTGTCGTGGCTAAGAAAATGCCATGACGAGATCAAATTTTCTTTAGACGTCTGTAGAGGCAATACTGATGGCAATTTGAAGAATATCCTTAACAGAATCCCATTACACAAATACTTTCTTTTTTCAACCTCCAAACCACTTAGGACTTCTGTTAATTCCGAATCCGAAAAAAGGACATACAAATTAGAAGCCGAGTCCAAAATATAGCATCAAATTATATATATAGTATCAGAGAGAGGCATTTCATTCTGAATGGATCGCAGCATTGACACAATATGGATTCCATTACAGTTTAATTTCGGCCAGTCTCAAAGTAGATATTGAGACACCTATTTATGATACAGGTAACATCTAAGGATGAGAACAGAATAATTTTAAATACGTTATTAAAAGCAGAAATATACTACGATACAATAGATGCACGGAGAGCAACTGTACAGAGTGGATATAGAACCAAATAATGCAAAATCCATTATTTGACACCACTAACACCTAGGTTAAGCAGACTCTAGCTCAAATTAAATGAAAGGCCCTTCTGGAGAGAAGGAAATTGTAAAATATTTAACAAAATTAAGCATTTAATTTTCGTTTCAGAATTATGTTTTCGGGACTAACAGGTGATCAGATATAGGAGCTGTATTGACGCTATTTCGTGATAATTGATTGGTAGTTGAACTCTCCCACATTGTTTTAGGTTGGCCTCGCGTTTCCATTGAATTTCATATAGCCCTGCTTCCAAAATGGTATGCTCCTCCAGGCAGGATTTAACTGCAGTTTCATCCTTGCATAGGTCTCATCACCACCCTCAGTGGGATGGGTGGGCTTTCCTACGGAATGAAAGTCTTACCAACAAACGTATCTCAAGAGATTCATAGAAACCCAGTTACACTTCGTATCTACAATGTACGTATGGTTAAACTTCTTGTCGAATATCTTCTTGCTACACTATAACCAATAAAACGATAGTCCACAAGTTAATAGAATTAGATTTTTTTTTAAAGTGTAATTTTCATAATATTGTTAATAGATGTTATTTACTTGCTAGACGTTTTTATTTTTGAATGTCTAGCAATAGTTAACTTGATCAGATATCGTGTGCCTTAGTTTAAACAAGGCTAGGCAGATATATTACAAGAAACCTAGGAATAAGAATTAGCTCGAGAAAATTTGTGTCTAAAGTAAGCCGTAATAATAATATTTTCAACAAATTCGGGAAGCATAAGGTAATTAATTTATCCAGTATAGTGTGGAATTGTTAATGGAAAGAGCATTGAATTTTGCTCTTGCAAATGAAATAAACCATTCGCTGGACTTGCCTGTTGAAGTAATTAGCTCATCTGATATATAGCCTAAATAGGAAAAATAATATTGAGTTATTTTTCGTATTTTAAGTTTCGAGACTACCAGTAAATTATTAATATGAGATGTTTTCACCCAATTTCGTTTAATGTGATGAAGGAAATTTAATAGGCAGAGCCGATTCTAGAGACGTTTATGTAGACCCATCTATTGCCTCCAAATAAGGTTGGTAGGAGATTAGGTGAAACCACCATCACATCAACAATGTATTTACTCACGTTATTTGTTCTATGGTGTCTTCTAAAGTGGATAACGAATACCATATGTCTTAATCAATTCTATGAAATTGACTTTCGATAAAATTTGATCCAAATTCAGAATGCAACTGCCTAAATGAACCAAATAATTCTTTGGAAAGTAAATACCATTCATAGTTTTAATAGGAAAAATTCTAAATACCATATAAGTTTATGTTAAATTAATTGTAAAAAAACTTCGTAATACCTATTTGGTACTATTTGCTTAACCTTTCAGGGCTAGGTCTTATAACTGGGGCCCCATTGGCCAACGGTTTGCTGAGTGGAAAGTATACAAGCGAAATCCCCAACTATTCAAGAGCTTCTCTCAAGGTAATTGGTGTATGAATTGGTTGGTGAATTTTTAAATGAAAAACTAACGCGAATTTGTGGCTGTAGGGTAGATACCAAAGGCCTATTGAGTACTTCCAAAATTTTAGACTAATTAGGAGAAAATCAGGGGCTATGTAGTATTCTTTGGACAATTTCGATGATTCGGTAATTTATACGCC